AAAAAAAAATGATATCACATTTAAACTCGGGTTCTAACTATTTATTTCAAGGATTATATGCACCAAGTATCAAGGCTTAACTAAAAATATAATAAAATACATTGTTGAATATTTATTACTAGACTAAAAGTATTTAAGATAGATTATGTATAATTTTACTATTTATTTTAAGGGAATTTGAAGGCTCAAATAATAATTTAACCAAAATACCTATAGACTCCTCACAGGCTATTCTTGCCATATTATCAATCGGAGCTTGGTAGCAGTCACGCATGAAATTTTTGAGCCGGTTGATTTGGCTTCTTTGTATTTGAAGAGGTATGTGTAGTTATTAAGACATTTGATTTCTTTTATGTTATCACCTGTGATCTAATTATTTCTAAGATCAATTTCTTCTTTAAGGTCTGTGAGATATTTTTTAAAAAGAGAATACAAATTGTGAAATATCAGAGTTGTTAACGTAGCTGTGGCATCTCTGGCTGTTTGTTTATCAAAGATGTCTTTTGAGATATCTAATCATATCATCATTATTGTTGTAAGGACCACGATCAGCGAGCTATTCGTAGAGGAATGGCATATGGTCTCCTGCTAATATATGCAATACAATAATGTCATTGGCGCTCATGCGTCTCATGAAATCTGGATCATACAAGTTATCAATGAATTCATTTATATCCAGCCAATGTCTTAAAAGTTCAATGAAGTTAGCCCTAAAGGTGACCTTACGTTCGTAAAAGATTTGTAAATTTGTATACAGAATTTTGGTAAAGGTGTCTGCAATGAGGAACAGCCTTACTAGTTCTTTTGGATTCATTATATATATAATATCTTAAAAGTTCAATAAATTAGCCCTAAAGGTGACCTTACGTTCGTAAAGGATTTGTAAATTTGCGTGCAAAATTTTGGTAAAGATGTTTGCAATGAGGAACGGCTTTACTAGATCTCTTGGGTTTATTATATACATAATCTTTGGCGATAGTTTTTGCGATTTGGTGTGCTTTATCTGTGTTTTGTCTAGCTTCTTTACATAACAAGGTTTTGAAGGCTTTATTTCTAAACACACGCATGAGAAATTCAGAGTGTAACATTGTTGTCAAGGTTTTCTCCTTTACTATCTTAAGATGTTTTTCGAATTCTGACCAGAATATGAAGGGAAAGCGTTTCCATGTAAAGGAGCAAGCGCAATTCAAACCATCTTCTTGTGTAAATTTACCCTCTAGCACCGCTTTAAAGGTTGACTCTACTCGGTATCGCATTATTATTTCTATAATATCGTTAACGAGTGGTGGGTAACAAGATCTACTGACATGGATACGATTGTGAATTTTTTGTAAATTCGAATGGACGATTCATTCTTTGTTTGGTCAGACAGGTCTTCTGCATTTTCACTGTATAATATTCTTGCTTTATTTTGA